TCATCTGCACCATGATTCACACGTCAAAGATCTAAGCCGAGCAATCCCTCCTCTGTTTCTTGAGCCATAAATGGGGCAGAATGCTTGGGACATGAAGTTGTGTACTTTGTTCCTAGTAGTATGGCCAGGAGCCCCCAGTAGCGTTTCTGCTCCTAGTAGCGATGCCCTTTGTTCCTAGTAGCGTTCTTGTTTCTAATAGCTTCTTGTTACTACTAGTAAGGCACTTGTTCCTAGTAGCGTGGCACCTGTTCCTAGTAGCGTCCAATACTATACATGTGTGACTCACTCAGTTGAGTCCGGCCACCGCAGCCGCCGTCGGAGTCAGTCGCCTGGCAGCTGCGGCAGCATCTGCTTCTCGGTCAAGGGGGGCGCGAAGCTGGCGAGCTGTGGGGTCTGTGGCGGCGTCACCTGGCCGCAAAGCACGTGGAAGGCTTGGAGCTGAAATGGATTGATCCTTCCAACGACTTCTTTTGGTTACTCCGAGTTACTCCTGGTCCTGCTTCTTTGCTTCCAAATCTGAGGCACTGAATCAACTACCCCATACTAAATGCTTTCCATATGGATGCATAGATGCATGGATCCTTCTGCACCTGTCGATAAAAGGGCATCTTAGTGGAGGGTCAAGGAAAGTGGTTTAATTATGATCAAGAATTCCCATCAAACTGAATAGGCCTGAGGCACACTTGAGTAGAGACGTCCAGCAAGAATTAACAACCGACAACGTTAGTCGCAAGCTGCAAACTGACTCCTGAGGCTGCCAAGATCTGCCAAGTTGCCTCTTTATGCGAAGCTGCGGCCGCACCTAGTGGATTGGAAGTTCCAATGTCTCTGCTGCAGCCGAGCCCTTTTCAAGTGAATCTCCAAAAAAATGAGTAGAGCCGGTGGTCACAGCCGAAGGAACATTTCCTCAACCATGTCAGGGCATATGTCTGAAGACCTCTCAGCCACAGTACAAAGACAAAGGTCAGTTTTAATAGTAAATCTCAAAAATACTCCCCGAGTGCCGAGTGCCACAATCAAGAGCTCACACATCAGAGTTCAATTTGGGTAGCTCATGGTAGTTTAGGTGTATAGATAGGAATAGAGCTTGTTCTTTGCATGTCTTTGCCTTGTGGCTTTCGCCTAGCTTGAGAGGCCGAGTGCCGCCACACGAACTCGAACGAACCCATCGAAACCGATCTTTCGAGCGCTCCGTTTTTCCTGTGTTCCGCACTGGCCAGAAGTGGAGAGCCTCGGGCTTGAGCTTGCTCCTTCCGTCCTCCCTCCAAGTTCAGCCAGTTGGCTTTCTGAATAGGACCTTTTTGTTGAGACTTGTCTTAGTTTTGATGGGTTCTTTTCCTTTTTCTTTATAACGTGCTGTTCTCTATGTCTTCGTTGTTGTTTTCTTTTGATTTTCGGCTGCCCTAACCTTCTTGCCATCTGTTTTTGTGCCAGTCACTTCGATGCTGAGGCTCCCACCAGGTGACACGGGCTCCGGCAGCTCTTCTTTGGGGAGCTCCTGGATAGGCGACTGCGCGGTGAAAACGATGAGTGGAGAATCCATCAGACTCACAAACAATGTCATACCATTTTTGTTGCATGGTCTTGCATGGTTCTTTTTCCAAAAGTCCGTGACTGCTGGGCTGCTGGAGCATTTTGCTTTTTTTTCAGCTATGTTGAGACATCCCGCCTTGCTCGGTGTTGCTGAAGGACCTGAGAAAGGCTCCAGATCGCTCCGGCCAGTCCACCGTTTCACTACCCGGGACGTTGTTCAATTGAACCATCGGCCGCAGATTTCCGCTGATGGTTTTTACTGAACATGGTAACATGGATGCAAAGCACACCAAGACCTATCCTTCTGAGACCTCCGAGGTTTTGTCATCGCCACTGCTTTGCATTGAGATTCGGTCTGCACCGAGAGTCGAAAGGACAATGTCACTATGGGTGAATCCAGTTTGAGTTTCCATTTCTGAGTGTTTCAGTGTTTATGAGGTAGAACATTGATGAATGTGAGCTGCAGTTGTCAGACCATGTCAGACCCTCTGCTTCCAGCTCTGCTGTGGACTTGCGCTTGGACTCACCGGCGGACTCCTGGAGTTGGGTGGCCGACATGAGAGCGACTACGTCAAGCCTTCGGGGATCTTCGGGGCCTTTGCATGACCAGGAACGCTCCAGGGGACTGCTCAGGAACGCTCAGTTGAAGTTTGTCATATGGGTTTCTTGTTTAGCCTTTGCACCAACTTCGGCCAAACCTCAGCAGCGAAAACACAGATGGACATTTACCAAAGCTCTCAGATTTCCCAGACGCTCCACAACTCCTCTGCGCTGGCACTCTGGAGTCACCTGGAAAGTAGCCCAGCACATCAAACGTCTGTGTCCAATTGGGAACATGTGATTGGGTTGTGAGGGATGAACACTTGTAGCCCCCCGCAAATGTCACCAGGTTGGCGCTGAACGTTCCTCAAGCGGCCACCTGGAAAAAATCATCTAGCTCCCTGAAAAACTGGGAAGAATAACCGTTTCCTCAACAATGCCTACGATTGGAAACTTGTGGATTTGGGTTGCCCAAACATAGGTTGCCATGCAACCTAAACATCCCAAAGTTACTTCACTTACTTCCCTCGAAAACAGGGAGCCGAGCAGTAAAACCACACCGGACAAAAGTCTCAGAAACCGTTCTCAGCTGTTCCTGTTCCTCCTCTGTGCTCCCGGCTCTGCTGCGGACTGGCGCTGGGACTCACTGTTGGACTCCTGAAGAGTATGTTTTTCTTTGTTCTGTTTTGATTTGTTTTTTTTGTTTCTAGTAACAAGTGCATCGCTACTAGGAACAAGTGCCTTACTAGTAGTAACAAGAAGCTACTATTTGTTCTTTGGACCTTGTGTTTTCTTTCGGTTTTCCTTTTGCTCCTGCGGGTGCTTTGGCTCCAGGATTCGCCACACGAAAGGCAATGAGGGATGGAGATTTGGGTGGCAGTCTTGGAAGTTCAATCCATTTTTCAAGCTGGGGTTTGTGCATTGAGGCATGTTACTAGTTTCTTTTCTGTGTGTGTTACTATAGTGTTACATGTTATATACTTATTGCCTCGAAGTCCTTGAATTTCTGGATTCACACTCGAACGTCCCTTGCCAGGACCGAGCTGCATGTGGCTTTCCAAGGCTTGGGTGCCTGAAGTTGCCCTCGTGTTCAAAGAGCTCTGATGGATACAAGGTATGCCTTGCCCATCCTGAGCACCCACAGAGCCCCGGCTCCTCTGAACTCCTGCGTTACTTTCACCTGATCAAAAAGAAGCATGGGACCGGCAAAAGCTAGCAAATCTTTGAATAAATAGTCTTGTCGGAGTCTTGTCGTGTAGAGCCACAAAGCATCACAAGACCCTTTGAGGGTCGCATATGTCAAGAGAAGAGTGGAGATACATTGCTCCGCTTGAAACACATTTCCCCACCTGCCGCACTGGCGTTCGACGTGGGTGCCTCGGAAGAAACCAAGTGGCAAATAACTACGTGAGCGACAAACCGATTGGAGGGGCTTTACAAATGTGGAAAAAACAAGATATGGGTTTGTATTTTCTCAAGGTTCCCGGGCCGGGATGTTTGACTATGGGGTATGCTTCGGAGGTATGCTTCGGGGGTATGCTTCGGGGTATGCTTCGCGCAGTGTGAAGACTAAAGTAATAGCATTTCCAGAGGGTATGCTTCAGGGTATGCTTCTGGGGTATGCTTCGGGGTATGCTTCGCCTAAGTCGAACATCCCAGTCCTACATAAACTGGACACCTTAAAAAAAAGACAAGCCCATATCTTGCCCCTAAGCATTGAAATTCAACAAGGCTTTCAGCACTTTGCAACGGTTGAACTTCACTGCAATTCCAAAACCCACAAGGGAAGAAGAAACACGGAACAAAAGAATTGAACAACATGGAAAAGCAGGTGGCAGGAGGTCTTTGACTCTTAGCATCAAAAGGAAAACGTTTTGTCTGCAACCTTTCTTTTTCAATCGCTTGCCCTTTGTTCCTAGTAGCGTCCTTGTTACTAGTAGCGATGCCAGTAGCTTCTTGCTCCTAGTAGTAAGGCCAGGAGCCCCCTAGTAGCGTCCTTGCTCCTAGTTGTAAGAATCTAAGCTCCCCAACCGGGCCATCGCGCTTGGGAATGGGAAGGCCTCGTTTGATCGTCCACAGTGTGGGCACGGAGGGTTCCCGAGAGCTCCGGATCAGCTCCGCCCTTTTAGCTGAATTTCATCGCGTCTGTCGGTGTGTCTCTCCCAAAATCTGAAGATGAACACCCAACTGGAGCAAGGACGCTACTAGGAGCAAAGGACGCTACTAGGGGCTCCTGGCCGTACTACTAGGAGCAAGAAGCTACTAGTAACAAGGGCCTCGCTACTAGGAGCAAAGGACGCTACTGGATCAAACCCACCTCTGAACTCTGCAAAACGTGGAAGCGAAGTGTATAAAGAACCCCCAAGTACAACCGATAAATGGTTGGACAAGCGAGCAATGAATCCAGCACAGAAGTGTTGTTCCATCAAGGATCGCTTGTAGGAGAATCCCAAGCCCAAAAAAGTTTGTCAATATGTCCATGCTTGATAGCAAGAGATAGGAGCGCATTGATCATTGCATAATGCAATTGAAAACCTTCAACCCTCAAACATACCCCTGACTTCAATCTGTGAAGGTGCCAAAACTTCATCGAGTTATGACAATTAAATGATACAGCGATATGCCCTCGTGTACCCACGCCAAGCGCCAGGCCCACATCTTGCACCCTTGACCTTGGGCATAAGCCAGTCAAGCAAATCAGTTTCCCAAGCAGGCAAATCAACACTTTCCCGCAACTCCCCGCCAACAAGAGCATCAAACACCCTTGGTCTGACGTGCTTGAGGAGAACCGCACGTTGGTATCTACTACATCATGTTCCTATCGATCAATGAATGCTACCAGAATAAATATGGAGCAGCAAATCAATCACGAATCTTCAACCCCTGAAACTCAACGCGTGGAGATGTGCCACATGTCAGGTCGCTACAAGAGATGTGAGATGAGCATGATACAAATTACAACCCCACTGTGTATCAATCAGCTTTGGCCACTGCTTTGGCCCGTTTCTCCCAAATCAGCGGCCAGGCTGGTCGAGGCTCGACTTCCCTTCTGTCGAGCAGCTCTTGAGGTGCTTCCTCTGGCCCTTCCTTCTCAGCTGGACCACCTGCATAGCTGGCAGATTAACGAGGTCCCTTTCATTCCAAATCACGAAGGAACAAATGCCCTTTGGATCCCTCACATTGCTCCAATTTTGTCCTCCCAACTGCAAAGGACATGACCTTCACTTGGCGCAGGCTCTGCAGGCTCTGGAGGCTCTGCAGGTGCAGGCTCCGCAGACTCTGGCTCCGCAGGCTCTGCCTGGGATACCTCCTGGAACCACGAATGAAAACAAATTCCATGTGGAGTTAAAGTTAAACAGTTAGTTGTTTTATGTTTGACCATACAGGGACTGTCGTTATTTTCTGGCTCATCAAAGGTCTACATTATAGGAAAAACCGGTATAGCTTAATAAGGACTGACATTGAGAAAGCTTTCTCTCTTCGGGTCGCTCATGGCCCTTCTTCGGCAAAGTCTGGAGGGCTCCAACTCGACGAAGTTCGCAGCAGTGAAGCTGGGAACCCAAGCGGCCCAGCACCAGCTTCAACGAAATTCGCAAGTTCCGGCTACTAGTAGCTTCTTGTTACTACTAGTAAGGCACCTGTTACTACTAGCGTGGCACTTGTTACTACTAGCTTCTTGTTACTACTAGTAAGGTTTGGTGCCCTTCCCAATTCTTGTGAACAGGATGTTCTGATGTTCCTCTCTCAAGACACTTTATAGACATAGATCATCTTCTGATTCATGGAAATTCCTGCATCACACCACCTCCCGACTCATCTTTCGACCAGAACCAGGTAGACTCACCACTCGCACCCGGTCCTTCACCGACTCCTCAGGCCTCGAGTAGGGCTCATTGGTGCAGAAATGGTTCAGTGATTCGTCATCTTGATTTTCTCATAGTCTCATAGTCTCATAGTTATATATAACTACGTGGCTTGTTCTCCAAACACTCATCACTATTCTTTTTTCTCTGGTGTTTCTTGTCATGGAGATCTTGTGATTCGGTGCTTCGATGCGAATTGGCAAGGCGCAGTGTCACAGTGTGACGAAGAAGGGAGGTATACCGGGCGGCTCCGCAACGATCTCCGAGGGACTCTAGGATTGGATGGAATGGTTCCTGGGACTAAAGAAGCACCTGTTCAACTTGTCCAAAGAGATTAAACTGCTGTGCAGTACAACCGAAGCAGTATAGGAAATGACAAAGAGCATCTTAGAATCTGGGTTTGTCAGGGTGATGTGCGGATATGTGCAGATTGGCTATGCTCATGTTGTTGATGACTTTCAAAACTCTGACCTGCGGAGAAATGAGAGCCCTGCCCCATGAAGAGGCAGGAAGATCATGCCATCCCAACAGCATTGAAAGGACATCTGTTGTGTCGTCACCCTTGGGATTGAACTGGAACACAGCCAACTTTAATAGTGTGTGTCTCACAGTCTTTTTGACAGATTCCATTCATTTGAGAATACTGGCATAGGCACCAAAAGACTTCTGCTTTTTGAGCGAGCTGTCATGCTTAAATGGCCGAAGGCAGGGCCTAGCAATGACAGCAGATGTGATGCCCTGCGAGAATTTCACCTGATGTTTCGGTGTTTCAGGTGTGCATAACAACACACTTGTGTCAGGTGACTACAGCAAAGCCGTGCTTTCGGTTCCTACCAATGTTTAAAGTTACACCTGAGCCAAATGCCAGCAGATTGGAAAGGAAGTTGTTACGGCCCAAAAGATTGCCAGCTTGGTCAATCCCATCACAATTTCATCTTCACGAATAGGCAATCTTCTCCCAACCACCTGCCACATTGTGCATCAACTAGCAGTTTCCCAGGTCTGACGATCGTGATGTCCCCTCCAAAAGTTGTCAGTGCTCTGCCACCACATGACAGGACTATCCCTAGATTGCAAGTGCCTCGCATTTGATGATGCTTAGAATTTACACGGGGAAGCTGAGTTTGGGCCTTGTCTGAGATCTCAAAACAAATCTCACAACAAATCTCAAAACTAACTAATTGCCCTCACCAGCCAGAATCAAGTCTATGGCCGAGTCTCACTAACTTCGAATCACTTGTTCGTCAGTTGTCGGCAAACATCTGCATACTTGATCACAAATGATGATAGAGCCTACTGCAAATCGCAAATCCCCAAATCTCTCTGGATCCTCATTGCACCCGCCGCGAAATTGGTAGACACAATTGGTTCCCAATTCACAAAGAAAAGGGATTAGCTTCCGTCAACTTCTGATCCCCAACACCCAACTCACGATCTCCTTTTCACGCCCTCATTGGTGCCGTGCACCCCATGCACCACCAATTTCACCTCAAGTGGCCTTTTTGGCCGTTTCTTCTTCCAGGGCTTTCAGTGCACGGAGCCGCTCGACCTCGTCCGAGAAGACCCGACGGTCCGGTGGTGTCGAAGACGCCGGAAGGTCTCTGAGCTCCGGACCAACGGCGGGTGCGAGAAGTGGTACCAGGAATACCATGGATCAGGATTAAGATCTCCCTGGTCGACAGGGAGGCTGTCGCTACTCAAAAAGCACGGAGAACTGTGGGAAACAGAACGATTGACGATTGAAGTTATTGCATATGCTTGCCTTTGCGAGAGGAACACCATTTAGTACAGTACACTGTGGGAAACATATCATCTAGACATACAAGTAGGCGATCACAGGCACCCAGGAGTCCGAGTTTCAATATTCAGGTGCTCAACCCGGAGTGCAAAGTTGATTCAAACCAAAACGAGTTCTGCAGTTGAACAGTTGGGGGGTCAAGCAACCTTCACTGATGGGGAGCACCTGCATGAACTCGCCTTCCCAGTGTGGCTGCACGGTTTCTGTTTTTTGCAGTGGGCGAGTGCAAACGGCACCTTGTTCTCCTCATGGATCTGGAACAACCCACTCCTTAGAACGGCTCATGGGAAGAAAAACAGCCGACTAGGACTTGTAAGTTTCACCACATTTGGATTTGGATACATTTAAAGTTTGGTTGTTAGTCGAGGCTTCGGAGCATATAACTTGCTTTTTTGATTCCTTCAAGGTTTCAGTCATGACAGCTTGGTTCGTGAAACTCTTGGCCACTTGGTGGATCTCAAGATTCACTTCCCCAGTCCCCAGCTTGCCAAAGTGGTCGCTAAGAACCTTCACACCCCGTCCGTCTCAGATTGGTCGCAAGTTGTGTCCACAGCGGTCAATGATGGCCGGTGCCAAGTGTGCTCAATGGGATGTCCGTGAGGTGACAAAATCGTCCGTCCTTTCCACCTTTACTTTAAGGTGCCACGCTAGTAACAGTAACAAGTGCCACGCTAGTAGTAACAAGAAGCTATTAAAAACCATAATATACAGTTTTTAATTCCCTTGTTCCTAGTAGCTTCTTGTTACTACTAGTAAAAGGTACCATTCCACTCAACAAAACAGCCAACACATTCAACTCCACTGTTCCCCACCAAGGCGTTCAAGGCGTTCGCCATCGTCCGTGACCGCCGCACCGGTCGCACGGCTGGGTCCGCGAACTGCAAGGCATCCGATCGGCCCATCTTCGCTGCGAAACTATCTGCCTCCGGCCGCACAGTCGAGTGTGAGATGACGATACCTTTTCATCGTCATACAACTTGCACATATTTGTGGGGGTTCTGAACCAAGTATGACACAATGTGAGAATTCTGAGGCAATGGCCCAACGGCGAGTTGGGGTGGCAAAAGGCAGATACGCATGGATGCTGCTTTGCTACTGAGTGATGCACTACTATACAGTGTGATGCTTTCTCGGTCATCATGCTGAATCCACCTTCTTTCGATATCTCATGGTATCTCCGCATCATTCCGCATCCACCTTCCAATAGTTGGAGGAACTCCCTGTGATGAAAAGGCCTGGAACTCGTTGCGACGGCTAAGCCTCAGTCTAACGCAGGTCGGGATGTCTTGGAACAACTCACCAAAGTACCAAAGCTGAGGCGGCTGTCGATGGAAGGAGTGTTGATGAAAGGGCAGCTGGCACTGAATTTTTGGTTCCTGGACTCCTAGTCATGCATTCCGCATCTTTTTGGGGGAGACTGAGGCTGAAGCAAAACAACTTCACCAATCTTGCTGGCAACATGTTATGCAATGAATCCGTGTAAATCCATCCATCCCCTGTGCAGTTGAAGGCTACCCTGAGCTACCAGGCATGGTCATTAGCAAGCTCAGCAGCTGCTCAGTGGGGCTGACTAACCTGGCGGCAACTCAAGACCCTTGACCCATTTACAGTAGATCTCTATAGTTGAGATTCCAAGCTTGAAGAGTCCTGACAATTATTCAGCATCATCTATATAGTAGGTATAATTATTTGACCAGCCCAACCAAAGATACTCCTTTTCAGTGGCTGCCACTCAGTCTGTCAATGATAATCTTTACAACCTGCTGCTTCAACGGGCAATGCAGTATTTTTGGGCCTTGGGTGGATCAGTCCCCTACCCAAACAGAGTGGTCTCACCTTTCTTTGTGGCCTCCAAAAGTGCTCCGGAAGGAATCGGTTCATATCGGTTCCACTCTCGAACTCTCATCGACCATATGCTTCCAGTCGACTGAGGGAACTGCATCGACTGTGTGGTTTCTGCCCCTCCGTGGCCCTAAAGGCCCGGCACAAATTACCAACAATTGCGATGTGATAGAATTTCATTGCCACACGACCCCGGAAAGTCATGAGGGCGCCAAAAAACATCTTCTGCATGACCATCTTCTGAGCCCTGGCGACTTTGGAAGCGCAGCAAATGGGCAAGTAAGGCAAAAGGCCTCATTCTTGCAACAATCCGCCATAAGGCTACTCTTGGCCATTCCAATTCACAAGCCGTCAGGCTTTGCAAACATACTTGAAATCAGCATTGTAAAGGAACCAGCGCCAGGGAAGCCTCAGCCATCAACGCATTTCGCAAGTTTGTCTGATCAAGGGATTTCTCGACCCACTATAGTCTTGCACAACTCGGCCGTCTGGGCAAGCCGGACAAACTGGCATTCTGCTTCGGCAGCGGCAGTTTTCAGCTGCAACAGTTTACTTAATCGACTTGGAGTCGGTGCCTCCCAGCTCAGTTGGACCGAAACGCTTGTGCGACACCGGTACCTGACACCGACCCTCGTCACACCCTCGTCTCTTTGACACCCTCGTCTCCCGTCTCCAAGTGGGGGAAACTCTCGCAGAGCTCACGATGAAACTCCGCCATGTGCCGCTGCACATCTTCCGTCTCGATGACCAGCTGCCCCGTGTGGCGCTTGCCCGAGGCTTTGCGCAGGGCACCGTAGCTGTGGATCAGCTCGTCCATCTGGGTCAACGACAAGGAACCTCAGGGTTTCACGGTCAGTCAGACAGTCCTTGCCTTATCCTTCAAAATCCTTCACTTCTTTTTGCAACGCACTGTGATGTTTCAATATCGGGACGTTGCTTTTAGGTGAGTTTGGGAGGTTCACTTCTGAAGATTGGATGCTTTCCGCTACTTGTCCATTCAACTCCTAACTCTGAAGCTTCACAGCGCCAGGGAACTGATGATGCCATTCATGAGATCCTCAACCAGGTCGGCGATTAAGCTGAAGTGCGCGGCCTCTGCTATGACGAAAATCAAGATTCGAATATGCTTCCTTAGTTCTTGCCACTAGCTCAAATACGTTGTTGAAGGTCCAGCGCATGTTTGGGTGAGAATATGTGAGAATGAGAAACTCAAATGGATGCAGGTTGTGGGTCAGCTAGAAGGGTGTGAAAACCAAACAGCTATGATTCTTCAAAAGCTTGGCAAACCGTACCACAAGTCGGACAAGTCTCTGTTTGCACTCAGCCGCCGTACTGGTCCCACAAATGGCATTGTAGATCGACTGCTGCGAAATGCTATGGACATCCTCCATTCGAGTGTAGGAGGGCGAGAAGGGCAGTGGGTCCTTAGGACTTGGACGTCGGAAACCGCGCACGTCGTGAGTGGTTTCCGAACCAACACGAGGCCCCGTGTCCTAAAGAAAGAGGTTCCAAAGAAGCTTGAGGTTGTTTTTTTTCTAGATGTACCCAACTTGTGCAGGGCTCTCCCAAGGTTCATAGGATGTCGTTAACGTTGTGGCTTCAACGCGGATCTATCAACCAAAAGCTTGTCAAAACTTTATGAACACCCAAACGTTTCGCGCTTGGTGAGATAGCTGGTGACGGGGACATACTGGTTGTGGTGAGGGTCAATACAAACAAACATGCCCAATTTACGTCGACTACACCCTCCTGCTTGGTGAAATGTTGTCAAAGAAACGTTAATGAGTACTCAGAAGTATCCTTCTGTTGGTGAAGAACACTTGCTCAAGTAATGCTGACAGTAAACGATGTCAATGAATTGATCAATGGTTGGAGCACTCAGTCAATTAAAGCAGATTTGGACCGTAATGCATCATGTCGGATGGATCATATATGGTAGGACAGTAGGTCAGCTAATCCTCTGCTTCAAGCTCCTGCGGTATCCGAAGTCATGTAGTGAATCTCTCCGTGTTGCTATTTCAAACCGGCCAAAGTCAAACATAGTATCTTGAACTCGACGCTGTCGTCAACACCCCAACAACATCAATCAACTCAAGATAAATCAAGGACCCAATTTAAGGTCAGAACCAACAAACACATCTCCCGGTTTCCATCGAGGATCAAAGCTGTCTCCTTGCTGATCAAAGACCTCCTCGAAGTATAGATCTCGCACACGCACACGGAAGCGTGCATGGTGATGCCCACAATACAAGCTCACGTCACAAGAGCCGTCTGCTGTGGCTGGGTCGTGAGCCAGACGGATCCTTGGAAAAAGCGCCAAATCAAACTATATGAACGCAAGTGCTTCACTCATCCCCATTGCGAGTCATGGCATCCTAAGAAAACACAAGGTTGCCAAACCAAGCTGTACCCTTCAGAACCTCCCCGTTCATATATGGTTCCCATGATGGTCTGCTTCAGAACCAAAAACAAACAACTGTAACAACACCCATAGGATCGGTCGCTCTTCAAGGGGGGCCCAACTCTGCCGAGTCTCAACTCTGTGAGACCGGCCTTGTAGGAAAACGCCGACCCATTCACCGTCAACGCCAGGTCCATGGGCTCCACGGGGTGCGTGCCATGTCGGACCCGTCACCATGGGTCAACAATGGCGTTCCTCTTGAGGCCGTTGCGTGAGCAACAAAAGTGCAAAACTGATCTTCAAGGTGTTCTTAGCTTACACTGCAGGTGCAGATCTTCTAAGACTGTGTTCTTTCGTGATACTCACAGGAGGCCCTGCCAGAACTATAGGAACATCAATGATGAGATACGTTCTTAAAGCAATAATTCTGAGCCAGGCAAAGTCACTGAAACTTGAAAGCGCAAGTCGAAAACGCGAATTCAGAAATCAGAAACATGTTTATTGAGAGATGTTCAGGCAGAACGTAAATTTGTGTGTGGAGAGTACTCCAAAGGAACCATTCCCTTGGAGGCACCAACACCTTTCTGTATGACTTATCCAACATAGTAACATAGTTATATCGATTTATCATCATTTACCACTTAATTACCACCTCCCAAAATCTTCGCCAGCAGGGCAGCATGAACAGCATCAGGGAGACCTGAGGAAACAGGGTGAATCTGCAATGATCTCTTTAAGGGAAACGTTGGAGATGTGTCAAACCAAGAGAGTCTTCCCGTTGCCAAATGTTCATATCTTCCACAATCCAAGGGTCGGTGGTTGTTAGATGCAAGGCAAATCGTCACTCATTGTTACTAATTCGATGTTTGTAGGCAGTCAGGATGAACTTTAAAGACACACTGGTCGTGTCATCAGCGTAAGCTGTGAACTGTAGGCAATCACTGAAAACACTGCTAGTAGCAAGAAGCTACTAGTAACAAGGGCATCGCTACTAGTAACAAAGGGCATTACTACTAGTAGCATTCTTACCATGCAGTCAGACAGGAAGTTCCAATTCTCTGAGTTTTCTCGCCATCACCGCATTGGTCTCTCCATAGCCGAACTGCTTGATCATCTGTGTTGACACCTGCATGGAGGACGTAGGTATTAGTGGGCTGTTTGAATGTTATGTTATTTCATCGTACTGCAAAATTCATGGCATAGATTTATGCTTGCTTGCAAAAACCATAAAGGCCGAGTTCTCCAAACGGATACGATTCCCCGCCTCCGAATACATCACCAGGTCGAACAGCCAAAATAGCACGAAAGTGTGTGCCTTTGCTCGGCGCGGAATCCGTAGCAGGAAGGCATCAATGGAACGGACAGGGACGCCTGGCAGGAAGAGAGAGGAAGAGAGTTTAAGATTGTGTAAGACGCTACGTTTAGGGTGGTCCTGTGCGAAAGTTCCATCAAGTGTCAAGGACTTTCAAGGATCTCTGTGTAGTTGGTGGCAGAGTTCTACATATGGAGAAAGAACAATTTCACAATAACTCGTCACTATACTGTTGTTGATGTCTTCCAAAAGACTGGGGAAGCTGCCGAGCTAATCACCAAATTCATCAGCGTGTGGCCGAATTTCCAATGACCTGCAGCAAGCCAATCACATGCTAAGCATCACCAAGACAATCTGGACAGTCTGCAGGCATCACAGGAGTGGATCTTTATGCATGTGATGCATTTGCACAGTTGTGTGGACCTATTGCAGATGGTCATGGGCTGCCTTGCCTTTTTGGCAGGGATCCAGACCATAAAACTGGCCACTCACATTCCAATGTGGGAAAAATCCTTGTTTGTCAGTCAATCCTGTCAACTTGTCCATGGGTTTTTGGCTGCACTTAGTGTACTGAGAAGCTACTGAACTACTTCTTCATGCTCTAGCAACAAACAAAATCGACACAAGCAAAAGAATGGCTTCTAGTACGTTTTGGAACACATTCGCCGTGCAAGATTCCAAGGTACCTCGCTAATTACTTGTATTTGAGTCGTCGTAGTACACGTCCGGCCTAATTCGTGACAAAGGATGGCCAAGATATCGTCATGCTTCAAGTGGAGCCTTCAAGGTGCGAGGCAGCATGAAGCAGCGACAACATGTCTTTCCCCTCTGCACATGTCCGACCCCGACTGACACGAGTGACTCCTTTGGAGGATTCAAGCTGTTCACCAAGCTGGGAAGTTCAAACATCGATTGAAGCAACGAAAGCGCGATTGGCCGCCGGTCAGCAGTCTGAAGCTCTGGCAAGGTGTCGTAGAGGACAATTCGCTTGTACCTGGGATGACAAACGTGCTTCTTCACCCCTCAAAAATTAAAGTGTCCGTAACTCTAGTTCACCAATCCTGTTGACTTGAGCTGCGCACTTCCAGAAGCCAAAGAAATAGGCATTGGAGTGCCTGGGTTCATATGCGCCAGGTGGCCCCACCGGTACACCTTTATGATAGAGCCCCTAGTAGCGTCCTTGCTCCTAGCGATGCCACACTAGTAAGTCGGTCTTGCTGCCTCAGCCTCTACTGTAGAATGACTCCGGACTGCCCTGGCCACACGTGCATTCATGAATAGGTGATGGTCCGTCTGGGAAAATCCCAGTTTTTAAGACCATAAAACGCAAAATGGTGATGCCGATTTGAAATTGGCTCAAGTGACTTGGGGGCCTTTTCAATTGATGCCTAGCACTGGGATGTATAGTATAGTTATTATCCTATTGACCGGTGGCCTTACCCAAAATGTTCACCAAGATGTCAAAAATGTCAAACATCCATAGAAAAACTCTCATATGTATGATAGTGTCCACCCTTTGGTTTCTTGCTGCAAACCTCCACCTTCACTCCGACTCCGCAAGTCCCGGCCCCTCAGGGATCGGGCCCTGAGCGCTTGGAGCCGTCAATCTCGAAGAGCTTCGTTAAGGGGAAGCTCACCTGGTCCAAGAACTCACCTTCTCATGTGATAGAATAGATGGACAAACCACACCCGACCCCTTCCAACAAAAGAACACCATGCGATGATATCCCAAAAAGCTTTCCGCAAAAACATGTCAAACTCCCAACTGGACTATAACCAACTGTTGTTCACCCCCCAAGCCAGGTGTTTGGATCCTTACTAGTTAATTCGTTGGATTGCTCTACCCTATATATGCTATCGGCCTCGGCAGCCAAGGCTTCGATTTTCTCCTTGAGCGAGGCATCCTCACGGAGCTCCGGCGGCACGGCGGGGGAGCGGCGATTGATTCGCCACGACTGGCTCCGGGTGAAGGCCCATTCATGCGGATTCTTTGTGACACCTGACGCCTGAGTGAAGCCCGAAGAAGCCAAGAAGATCCAAATGTCTTTAATTGTTGGAGAAGGAGACCTGGTCTGATCATACAATCTAGAGATTGGTAGAGCTGACCGAACTGCTCGGGACTCTGGTAGAAAGGCTTCATGAGAACTTGGCCGAGTGTTGCATACCCTTTAGGAAAATGCAATCGAAAAATCCGCGCATCTTGATTAAACTCAATGGCAAGCTTTTGCCGTCAGCAACAATTTAGCCAGTCAAGCAAAATACCCACAAGTGACAAAGTACCCAGAGATGGCAGCTCCTACGTTTGTTTGATTGCATCTACCCTGTCTTGGACATCTAGGGGCTGCTGCTTTTTGAACACACCTGTCCTGAAGCTGCCGGAACTCATTGAAGAGCGGCTGAATAAAGTTGGGGTAGATCCACATGAAGGCCATTCTCAGAGCGTTGAGATGAACCCACCATCAATAGGAGCTCATATCTACGGAATCGACTGCATGTATGGGGGATCAAGATGAACAGAATCACGCTGAAAGCCAGTGATGGGAAGACCTGGAAACCAATAAAGAGCGCAGCTTTTGTATGTTGTTTGTTGCAATCCGGACTCGTCCGATGGCAGCCGCTTCTGCGTTTTTGAGGCAAGGACATAAGGAACTGCACAAAGCCCCACAAATACAGGTAGAAACCTTGACAGGATTGGACGTGGCGGGTAGGACATCAAGCTTAAAGGGTTCGATAGAGATCAGGATGATCTCTTCCTTGATCCTCTTTCCAGCCAAACCACAAGGTGATGAGTCAACGGACTGACGTCTGGCCGTGTTGTGGTAGGATCTTGATACACAAATGTAAAGGTAAGTCAAAGCGGATCGTCCTAGGGCGCCAAATGGTTTGCTCAGTATTCAAAAAGGACCACAATCCTAGTCTATCCTACCAGCATGTGCAAACCCACAACCCAAAGCAGACTTTCGGAAGGCCATGCCTGACGCAAACTGAAGATCTATGCGTCACCGGTACTTCCATCTATCACTGTTCAAAAGGTTTGTTCGTCCGTCTCGAAGGAAGAGTAAAAAATGGAGAATAATAGATGGCTGGAATCGAAAGCTCATCGTTGCAGGAGCTACATCTATAGAACCCTCTAGCCTCTAGCTTGATATGTTCACTGCTCTTGATTAAACATGTGTTTACCTACAAACCGCTGCATGGGGGAACTCTCATTGTCTCTGACCATGATCCCTGCTCCGAATCATGGCCTGCGCCAAAGTATCGCACGATCCAAATCAGCATGGGCCTCAGGCCGCTCAACCAAAGTAAGTCAAACAAGGTAACAAGGCCTATGGCACCAGTCAAAAAAGGGCTCCTTCAATGTTTGGGTCAGGGGAGTAAACGCAGACCCCAAGTAACTGAGAGGCTAAAAACCGTCACTGGATCTCCAACAGGTGGAGATGGTGTAGTCTCTGAATCTGGGAAAGCGGCACTAGCAAACCTCCAAAGATGTAGGTCCTCAGGATCTGATCTGTCTCATTGAACGTGCAGTGATTGACCCATGGCACATCCTCGCTCAGAACCTTTTGAGGAAATCTCAAAGACCCTTCGATGTTTGTGTTTCCAACACCAGCGGGAAAAGCAAACGGTACATGGCCGGAAAACCTCAATTCAACAGTGTCAACAGCAAAGAGGCAGCGTTGTGTGCGAAGAACGGATTTCCATGTGACATGAAAAAGCCACGGACAAGTGCAAATAGCTTGAAGTGAAATGGGTTCATTTCCTGGAACTTATCGTGGCTTGTCGTGACAGCATGTCATCTTTCTTTCATTGTGTCTCATCGTCTGTCAAAAGAAAAGTTGTCGGCCCTGCCATGCTGCTCCAAAGGTCTTCTAAACCTTGGCCGCAAAAACATGACTGGGACGTTCTAATCCTACCTTGCAAACGTGCTCATGCATGCGTTGCTAGCACCATCTAGGACCTACGAGGATGGACGTTAACTCCCAACACACATGAATGTCCAACGGACCAAGTCGCCAGCACACGCATGCATATATGGCGCATAGTAAAACTCTTTTTGCTGGCTTCCTTCCGTGTCTCTCTGGCAAATCATTGGAGCAGATTTGGCAAGTTTCCTGAAGTGCCAATAAGCCGACACATAAATCATCATAATCGGCCAAGTTCAATCGCAGGAACCGCTCTGAATCACAACCTTTTTCCAGGTCAAAATGATCGTCTAAGGATGGATGTCTGAGCCTCGACCAATTCCGGTCACTCATCTGCTCTTTGTGACTTCCAAGCATTGCCAGTAATTTCCAAAAAAAAATATGTGTGTAGACCTGATGCTCCCCTGCTTGACGGAGTATCCGTGTTGGCCCAGAATCTCTAGAATCTCATTCACACAGATCTCATCACCATTCCGCTTGTAACAGTCTAGTACTGCTGCTAGCAGCACCTCCTTCATTTCTCTCGGGTCAGGACACAGAATCACCATGTGATCCAGCTTCTTGTGCCTCCCGATCATCCCAAGCGACGACATTCCACGAAGACCAACGCCTAACATGTCAAACAACTGCAACCCAAATGCCATGCCATGACGGCCCGCCACGTCGAAATGCTTCAAAACAGACAGCACTCCCCCGTCTGAATCTGGTCCAAAGGTTTGTGGCATCCTGGTCATCTTGTAGTCCCAAAGCCCTTTGTTCTTCCCCTCAAAGGCCGTGAGCGCCAGTTGGACCGCTGGAGCCATTGTTGCCAGTGTCATCGGGTCGAAATGCCGCCGAGCTCCCAGAGCGCTGAAGCTCAGGATCCGTTGAGGTCGCATGCGATGAAGCATTTCTTCTCCGTGAGAGTCTTCTGCTCTTCACTTAAGTAAGTGAATCACAAGGAAAAGGTGAAAGAGTCAGAAAGTAATGTACTTTCAAACACAAGGAAGACCATTTTGCCAGACTTGGTGAAGCTGTACTTGGGAGCAAAATGTCGCGGAGACATGAGCAAGTTCAGAGCATTGGCTTCCACCCGACCGATCCGCGGGATCTGGGTGGCCCGACAGAAGTGAGATGAGCTGGATGAGGAGGTAGCCAACAGGCAAAGGAAAGAAGAAAACAGCACGGGGATGAAGAGTGGGATCGGTAAATGATATCAGTAAACGTATCAGTACCAGTAGAAAAGCATGCACAAAATGCTATTGGGCGAGATTCAAGAAAACCAAAGAACGCCTTGGCCATCAGTGTCTGCAACACCCGAGATCATGAAATGGAATCTGCCGCTCCATCTGGTCTGGTCTGAGCGGCAGAATCTCGCTCTTTATGAGATCCGTGATGAACAGCTTCACCTCAGCGGATGGAAAAACTGATCACCGTCGATGCTTCGGTTCTTTGAGTGGTTGGCAGTCGACAAGCATTTGAGGCACGGGTCCTTTTTCAACCAATGTGCTTTGAAGTCACTGTGTCGTTTTCCAGGTGGATTGGGAGGTTGGGATCATCATCTGAATTCATGCTGGTTCAGGAGACAGTTATCTCATCAATGCCCTACCAACCGTGGGAACAATCACCTCCTTGCCTAAACCAACTCCATGGGATCTTCACATGATCTCCGACCCGGTGGCACCTGAAGCGAACACCTTGGCGAGTCGCACCCTATTTGGACCCGCCAAGTCACTGTCATCTTGTTAAAGCCGTGCTTCTCCTTGGTCTGATTGCTGCACTCTCACTGTTTTGCGACCTTAAACAGGGCTGTTTCATGCTATTTGTCAGGGGGCACATGATGAATCAACATGCTTCCAGTGCAACCTGTAGTAGAGGGTCCTCATCACTCCTACATCTAAAGGATCAATTTGCAGACTGCTTGCGACCTTGAATCCACTGAGACATCTGGCATTCTCATTCGGACCTTCAACCCAACCAATTGGTCCACTGCCCGATGTTTCCCGGTTCCGCTCCTCCACCACGAAGTTGGAATAGAGCGAGAAAGGAATGCTGATCGGCTTCTCCACCTAAGACGATGCCACCCACCCAAACCGGAAAAAGAAAACGTCACTCTCCACTGCAGTTGATGTCTTTGTCTTGCTTCAGGCTTCGGTCAATTGATTAATTACGGGGCAAGTCGAGTACTTTCCAACATCTTGTCCTATGGCTGCCTACTGTAGCCATCGTAATATTCCCCCAAACAAATACCAATCATGGCACGATTCAGTGGTGGCATGGTTCACTTAGGCTGCCGCCCACTGCAAGAGGAAGAGCCAAAAGAGGGTGCAGCTATATTCCGCCTTCCCAGCGGCACAGTGCATCGTGTTTTCCTCCCGATTGAATGCGGCTTAAGTGCAGGTTACTGTTCATTGGGCTCATCTTCAAAAGTCTGCAGGTGAGAGTTCTGAATAGGACTTATAAAGAACTTGTTTTCTCAAGAGAGACATGAGGGATTCCTGGCCCCAATAGCCATATGTGGTCAACTACTACAGTCTACCGATGGTGTTCAAATGTCCCTTTGCCATTGTTCTTTCGACACCGTAGCCAACTACAGTTGCCCTATTTGCGCTCATGTTCTGGCTGGGTTGCTCCGAACACCTTCTAGATTCTAGAATCCGCCTATTGACAATATAGGGGCAGCAACCATCTGGGGCCGCACCTTTTTTGAGGTTTCTTGAATGAAACCTTGCAAGGTCAGCAACCCAGCTGCATGAGTGAAAGGGCTGAACTTTGAAATCCTCATTCGCTGAGGCCCCATTTCGCAACACCTTTGCACGGCTGCTTCCGCTCCCAACCCGTGGGCCTCCTCTCCAAAAACTCCAACCTCAGCACAGCACAGTAAGTCTGCAAGGCGTCACACTCAGTGATTTGGATGGTTTGAATGATGTCTGCTTATGTCTGTTTCATACTATGTTTTTCAACATTCAACCAAATTGGCAAATAGATTCGATCGTCGCGGGAAACTGGCGACCTAGCAACTAGTCACATCGAAGTTGCAGCACAATATGGCAATGAGGCACGCCAAGCCAGACAATCAGCCACCCCAGCAACAAACAATGATGTAGAATTGTATGCTATCTCATAAGGTGACTCTTCCTTGGATCCAATTCTGTGCCTCCCTGCGGCGTAATGCCACAGCAATGGCGTAATCAGGAACAGCTGGACCTCCCAGGACATGAACTCCGAACCAATAAAACAGAATATAAAAGCATTGACTGACATTCCTTCGTGTTTTAAACATATTTTTTCCTTTGCCTCTGTTCGTTCTTCCTGTTCTCTTTCTTTGTACATCGTTTTTTGTACTCTCTAAACCTACAAGCTGCTAGGAGCCTCTTAGAACCTCTCATTTTCCATAATTACCCACTGACCCATTTCGCACATGGATCTGGCCCATCGGTCGCCTTGTCGTAGATGAAGCTGACCCAATCCTTCACAAAACCGAAGACTCTTTTGTCCTTCTGATACGCCTTGGAATCGCACAGGCACGCAGTGCCCCCTACAGAGGTGTGCGATTGTTCGGCAGGCATAGCAATTTATCTCTGCACCTTGGGATTCACGAAGTTTTTTCCATGTCCTTCCATTTCTCAAGAAACGACTCGAGTCGCTTGAAGGAAGGTCTCAAACTCTTTTGTCGGAAGACTGATCTAGCAAACAGTTTGCGGACAAAACAAACAGGGTGGCATCAGATTTGTCGTGTCGCTCAAGGGTTGGTTCTCTTTTTTCAGGTAGAATTGGCACCACTGATTGGTTGTGAAACCAGTGGCTTTGGGTTCGAGCCTGAGATTCCAGGAACTTGGCCTCCTCCACGACGCCTGGGCCACGCGCAAACGTGAGGGACCAATCACTCATCTTTTGCAAAGTGATACAAACAGCCATGGATACTACACCGACAGTATCCTGCTGGACATTGGGTGATCCTAGCAATATCTAGAAATCCAACACAGCTGACATGCAGCACTACACCTCCCTATAGAGCTGTGGGTGACAACAACGAGGGCACCACCTTTTTGAGGACCTTGTATATCTAGACCCTGGAAATTGCTACAAACATCACTGAAGGAATGATGCCCAGTTTGTGCTTGGTTACTACTTCCTTCTACGGCACCAAAGAGCTCAAAAACTGCGACATGATCTCCCCACTGGATTGCCACCGGGCCATGCCCGGACGGCTAAGCGGCACCTCGGAACTCCTCTGGGACGGCAGTTTCTCTGTTCCTCAGGTCGCTGAGACACTTGGGCTGGACAATCAGAAACATGAGGATACCTCAACTTCAGTTTGCGCAACGCTTTGCTTCAGTAAGCCTGCCCCATCATCGAGGTCCATCTCGTCCATTATAGTATACTGTCAAAGCAATGGGATTCTGGGATGGACAAACCACTCAGAAGAGCTAAGGTGAGGATTTAAGTTGAAAGTTATTCGTTACTCGAAAAGTTGCAGAGAGCGAGCAATTATTGACGTTCATCTTGATTTTTCTTTTGCAGTCACTTGCAGCCACTTGCTCAGGCAGCCACTTGGCAGCCACTTGTCAGCCACTTGTCACTCAAGCAAGTAAACTTCAACACTTGCACTTTGAGTTCTTTATGTAAAAACTGTAAAAATGGTCAGATTTTTTCGTCGCTAGCTCTGCAGAAGTTTGGCACTTAAATTCTCGGTAAGTTCTCCGAAAAGTTTTGGATTATATATTTCATGCTTTCCCCGCGCGCAGCTCTGGAGAAAATCGGACATTCTTCGCAGAACTGAACAGCATTGCAGAAATCTTGGTTTTCTCCAGAGCTGCGCGCGGAGAAATCATGATATTCTCCAGACAGAAGTAGCAGTGACTTGCAGCCACTTGGCAGCCATTTGCTTGAGCAGCCTCTTGCAAGTGGCTGCAAGTGGCAGCAAAATGGAAAATCAAAACGCGCACCTCCTGCGAGCTCAATCTTCAACCTGTGGTTCGCCTTCTATATGGCTTGGCTGTCCCCAAACCTCAGACGACCGTAGAAGCACAAATGAGGCCTCCACTCTCATCACATGTTGCACTCTGTGCGCTGAGCCTGTCACCTTGCCACTCTGCAAGATCTCGTCGACGCCTTCTTGGAAGGCACTTCGGAAGCTGGTTGTCCCCGTGGCTGGTGCCCCATCGTGACTGGTCCACATACGCGCAGCATTGAGGCTGACTCAACGGGAATGCCGCTAGCCCCCACCAAATGTAGAGCATCCTGGCACACTCACTCTGACCTGCAATGCCCCATTCTTCTTCTTTCAAAGATATCCACCAGGACCACATCCGCTCTGGCGAACCATGTCGGCTGCTTTGTGTGAACCGTCCGCCTCGTCGATCACCACGAACCATCCTGCTATGAATGACTCTGCCATGGTGTCCTGACTCGGTCACTGAGCTTGAAGCTCGGCTTGCTGCCCACCTTCCGGTGGATGTTTCTTCTTCTCTTCATGCCCCACTGGCATCATAGCAGCCCTCCTCGTGTCTTCACTCAGGTAGCTGACGTCCACCAATGGCTCTCTTGTTGAGCACTAGTCCTGCAAAGCCCCTCCCATGGCATCTTCAATACTGGCGTCACCGCTGTCAATCTGGTTCATGTCCTCGTCTTTCACTGCCCTATCCAGATTCACTGGTTTAATCTTTGCGTCCTCGACCATCTGCCTCAGGATCCTTGCCACATCTATGATCTCTGTCGGAGAGTGGACCAGCCATCTCGAGCGTCAAGCTTGACGTCTTCTGTCCTCATGACCTAGACCTCTCTCAGCCTCTCGGCCATCGCCTGGATGGGTTCTCCAACATAGGCCTCGAGCTCCTCGTCGCGGACCACCTCAGGCCCCCCACGCTGCATCCCCCATTGGAAGGGGGTCGTCATCCACCTCCACCACTCAAGGTCCATGGCAGAAAAACAGCAGGGGGGGGACCAGGAGTTCGACTTGTAGCCAAAATGGCACGTACGTGTTCAACAGTCAAACTATGTTGTCTCCCTGTTCCATGTTTACAAAATACATACAGTAATCTTTTCATGATGGATTGCATCGATTAGTGCAACGATTCCTCTCTCCATAGCGCATCTACACCTGGTTTGTTCCACCTTCTGAGACGCTGGCTTTTGAAGCTGCCGGAACTCCAGATACTGCTCAAAGAAATGAAGCACCTGGCTGGTGAGACATAGTCGGCGCGGGATATCCTGCTCAGGCCTGCTGGACCTATCTCCGGTGATATGGATTGTTCCAGTGGTAATATGTGGTAATTAGACTTGTTACGGTCCGTGTCCTGTCTCGCAACTCTCTTGCTGGTGAAACATTGACTTTCAAGGGTTGACAGGCGACGCTTGTTCCGGGTAACACTTCTCCTTGCAACAGCTTCTCACCTTCTAGGCCACCATGAGGCAAACAAACAAACATGTCCATCAATTGGGACTCCAAATTGCAGAAATCGAAGGGTCCGATGTCGATGGTCTTTTCGACGCTTCGACTTCAGTCCAGGGCCGCAGCAGAGGAGAAGGCGACGAATGCCCACACATAGGGCCTTCAGCACGTGGGAAATCGTTCACCCGACTGTCGCGGTCTTCCCCGAATGAAACACAAGAGGTTCTGAGAGGTTCTCGAAGAGGTTGTGGTTTTCTGCTAGTAACAGGGGCATTACTACTGGGAGCAAATAGCTACTAGTAGCTATTTGCTACTAGTAGTAAGGCCAGGAGCTACTAGCAGCGTCCTTGCTCCAGAGTTCTTAGATCTTCTTGGTGTGCAATGGGCTTAGTCCAGAAATGTGTGTAAACTGTGAGTTTGCCCTGCACGGGCTCCCTGCAGCACCTCGCTATGGGCGCCATGCCATGCACACAACAAGAGACCATGTAAACCATATCAGACCATGAGTATTTCTCGGGTTCCAAAAATCAACAAAATATGTGTTGTTGCTGCGCTCTCAGTTCCGGATGGTGGTGGGAAGTCAGCTGCACATCGACGAGATAAAACGTTTGCCAAATCAATCATCTACTGTATCCATTGACCCCCCCGATACACCTGACAACTCAACAGAACGCTTTCCAAAAGACTTGCGATGTCTTGGAACAAATCATGACAAATCTCCTAGTAGCACGAAGCTACTAGGGTGGAGGCCATCGCTTGGAGGCCATTACTACTAAGGAACAAGAAGCTACCAGTAGTTCCTGGCATCGCTACTAGTAGCAAGGACGCTAGTAGTAGCTCCTGGCCTTACTACTAGGAACATATTAGAAACAAGAAGCTATTAGGAACAAGTGCATCGCTTCTAGTAACAAGTGCATAGCTACCAGGGGCGCTCCTGGCATCGCTACTAGTAAGCCTTTGCCTATCTTTGCCTCTGGCATCCGGCCAGCATGCCATAACGCCCCTAGCGACTGAGGCTGCACACCCTCCTACAGCTGGGATGGCCTCAAGCATTCGCATGTCAAGCGACTTCAGTCGATGTTGGACGCCCAAATCGACTAGATCTTAGACTACACGATTCCACAAGGCCTACAGCTGGTGATCAAGGCCTATAGTTGGGCTCTGAGGCAACGGCCATGATGCCAACCCGACCCAAGTACCCCACACTCGAGGAACTCAAGCCAAACAGCATGAAAATGAATGACAATGACTCATGACGGGCTCAAAACGCCACAGAACCTATTACGTCAACTGGTCCATAAAAGTGACAAATGACCTTAGATCGTCATACCTGTAACCAGTGGTTCACTTTTAGTGAGTGCCTCTACTGGGTAGAGTGTGCACTCGGCATCAATGATTCATGGCCACCAAAGTTAGGATCGTTTTTTTTCCATATTGCTGGTCCCAGCATATCCTATATATCCTAGTGGCTTGGTTCATTCAATTGCTTTGACCTGGATTTAAGGTTGGTATCATGGTATCAGCATCAAGACCAAACAATCGTTAGAGATCCTGGCCACTCAATCGAAGCACAACATCGCACAATTTTTGGTCAACTAAATAGCCCACGGGTGGGACATGGCCAATGTCGGTACTAGGTCCGGAGATGGAGACGAGAGCACCAGGTCGGTCGCTGATTCGTGAACATGCCCTTCACGAGAAGTCTGAAACCTGGAGACCGTAAAAGGCAAATCCACTTTTTGGGGGGTTACAGGATTGTGACATAGTCATGGTTCATACCTGCAATTCCAAGCTCCTGATCTGACAACCTTACAATGTTACTAGGAACAAAGGGCATCGCTACTAGGACCAAAAATGCTACTAGGGGCTCCTGGCCTTACTACTAGGAGCAAGGACGTCATGCGTGTCTTCTCCATCTCTGAATTCGAGGTCACCGACCCCCACGCCAAATCTCGTCGCTCGACGGACGGGCGTAGCATGGCATTGCTCAATCCAATGCGTGATCTTCCAGTTCATTGGCATCGGGCTTTTGCACATGGCAGGTACTGACCTGACGAGTGCTTGCTGATGGTGGAGCGATGTGACTCATACCACAGGATGCTAGGGGAAGAGCAGGGAAGATTTCAGGATCGATGGATCTTAATTCTCAATATAATGGATCTTCTCACTAGATGTTCTGGGAGAGTCTAGACAGGCTGCGATCAGTGCACTCACACAAACAAGACACCGACCACCAAACCAAAGGTAAGTACAGGCTAGGGATTCTCAAATACATTCTCAATATACACCCAACATCTATTCCAAGGAGTTGAACGTGACAAACACCACTTGGGGAGTCTTGCAACAAGCAAACGATACCGCACAAAATCGGGAAATTCTGCAATTAATTGGCCAAACACAAAGTATTTATCCGACTTTTCCATTTTCCATGGTTCCTCTTGGTTCCTCCTATCTCATGGACTCTGGTCTTTTCTGAAAGACCCACCTGGTGTTGTCA